TCAAATTTTCTATGTTCAAAACGTATTAGAATAAAGTGTTAAAAAATTTGTTAGTAGGGAAAAGGGTGAGAGGGTTTCAAATACCCGATAATAAAAAAATACCACTTTACTTAGGTAATTCTAAGCTTCTGCATAATAAACTGTAAGTAGTAGATCCTGTCATAAAACCAAATCTCTCTTAATCTTTAAGTATTTCTTCCGCCCTTTGCAGTTTCCGTACTAACGGGTTGCGCAATAAAATACCGGTAAAGCGCAGACGAGTATGAGTACGAGAATGTTCATGTTTGTGTACCGAGAAGTCGTAAATAAATAATTATGGGATTAACATTGCGCTTCACATATAAATTAATAACGAGCAGCGGGGAAACTAAAAATAGATTAGATAAATGCAATAAATAAACATTTTAATTGGATCAAACGGAGCATTGTTTCAGTATGTACGTGAGATCAATGAGGAATGAAAGACATGGATTCCTCCTCGAGCTTCTTTTTCCGGTATAATCCAATAACGGTACCACGTCGATCGCTCAATTGTCTCATTTAAATCGTGCTATTAATATATCGAAGAGACGGCGATAAATCAATGTGATTAAGATTAATTGTTCGTGTTAAATAATACAGCAAACGCATTTGGCGAAACTAGGCTACACAATTAATAATACTAGCGATAAATTATGTAATTCAATCAATTGAGCAAATCGATTCTATGAAAATAATTAACGTAAACATACTTTATAAAATTTGTATATTTTTTGAAACTTCAAAACTCAATTAAAACTAATTACTTATAATAATTATAAATAAATTTTTGTCATTGAAGAATTACACTAAATTCTTTATGTATTTACATTTTCTTACATAACTCAACAACAATGCAAGTTAACTAGATTATATTATACTCAAATTAAAGCTCAACTTATTATCTTTATACGAATAAACGCACTGAAACAATTCTAGCTTCGATAATTCGATTACGAAAAGTCCTGAAATTTACCGATTTAGTTAAACTTTTTTCGTTTCCTAACTATGTCCATTATAGGCAACCAAATATACACATTTGTATGTTTTGGTTGCAGATACTAAGAAGAAATATTGCATTTGTGTTAGTCGGGTTAGTGCCAGTAGTCAGCATTTATTTTCAAAACTCCTTCAAAGGATTTGTTCTAAATTATGCAATTTTCTGAATGCAGGCTGACTAAAGAACTTTCCTCTTGGTTCTTGTTGAATATTTCCTTTGTTTAGTTACCCAAGTAGTGGAATGTTCGAAGCAATGCATAAGCAAGTATTTTCGATATTATTACATTTTCTTGCATAACTGAACAACCACACAAGATAAATGTATTATAAACAATATGTATATTAAAGCTGAAAGTCTTCCTTTTCAAACTAACCCATTGTCATCTTCGTGGTATCATCTAGTCGATAAAGAAAATATAGTTGCTGAAAATGCACTGTCTTCATATTTAAAATGATCAAAAAATTTAAAATTTTGAATAAAAACGTGAACAATTCCAGTACAGAATATAAATAATAATAATAATATTCAATACAAAATACATGAATTTCGTTAAATTACTCAGAATTTTAAATAGAGAATATAAGTATTTAGTTAAAATCTACATTTTCAAAGATTCGCTATGAAGATTATGTTCTAAATTTGAAAATTCTGAAGAATTATACAAAAATAAAATTCAATGCAAAATACAAGAATTTTGTTCAATTACTCAATATTAATGTGATGTAAATTAGAAAATTTTGGAGAAAAACGTATAGAATTTCAATACAAAATATAACAATTTCATTAAAATCTATAATTTTTAAAATTTATTTTGAAGAATGATCTAAATTTGAAACTTTTGTAAATCAATATTCTGTAAAGAGTAATATAAATTATAAAATTTTGAAGAAAAACGCAAAGAATTTCAATACAAAATATATAAATTTAGTTCTATTACTTATGTATTATATCTAAATTTGAATATTTTGAAGAAAAAAACGCAAAAAAAATTATATATTAATATGTATATTAATTCTGAAAGTCTTCACTTTCAAACGAACCCATTATCATCTTCGTGGTATCATCTAGTCGACTACTTGAGGATGGAGAAAATATAGTTGCTGAAAATGCAGTCTTCATATTTAGACAGATTTCAGGAAAACCACGCAAGATAACTACGTAAATCAATAAGAATCTTAAACTATAGACTGCTACCTTTCGAATGTGCCTTTTGAAACGGTATTTAGAGAAGTCCTGAAAATTTGTGAAATTTTTGCGATATTTCTCCGTGATTATTATAGACAACGAAATATACACGTATGTTATTTTCAAAACGCGTACATTTCGATTATTTTTTAATTCTGCAATGTTGTGAATGCAGACTTGATAAAGAACATGTTCCATTATCAGAAATGTGAACATTGCATTTTTCAGAAGTATTGTTACATAGAAGTCGATAACATAAGAATAAGAAAATTAATTAAGCGCAAAAATGATTTTTTTTCTTCATTCCCACATCTTTATTTGGCTTCCGCATTACTCGCCAACAAGCCAGCTCCTGTCTGTTAAGTCAAAGCACAAAAACCAAACTAACACTTATTCTTCGGATTTCTTCTTCCGCCAAAATAATTAAAGTAAACAGCTTCTTCCAATAAAACCGTAACTTTCTTCTTCATCCCAAATAATCAAAATAAACAATTTATTCTAACAAAACTAAAAATATAACTATTAAACTAACTTCAATAAAATATATACATAAGAGAGATACGGCAAGACAGGTAAAAGCAAGAAAGGTTACAAGTCGAACATAAAAATATAACGTATTTCAAACCGGGGTGCAAATATAATTGAAGTACAAAATTTGGAGTTAATAAAGAAAGCCAATGTTTAAATACAGTTATCTACACTTACTCATTGGTTTGTTACTTGGCTGCGTGAGTATCTACTTGCGCCATCTATGATTTACATAAGTTAGTTAAAGTTCACTGATTTTGGCGCTGTATTCAATAGTTATACCAGTGATACTAAACCTGGACTTATTCCACAAGTTACTGGTTTTGCAGAGGTTTCTACCTGATACTCACCAGTTTGCTTAATATTGTAGATAATAGATGATCCTACCTCTATCTGCCTAACGTTGTCGACAGGACCGAGCTAAATGTGGAGGAGTTTCTAGACCGAAGCTCATTATTGGAAGAAGAAGAAGAAACCTGGACTTTATTATTATTTTGTAATTTAAAATAACTTAAGTTTTTATGTATTCTAAGGGGTTTTCTCTTATATACTTTTAATGTTTGAATTACTACTATAAAACGTTTGTGTATAGATACGCAAAGATATAGATTATGAACATTTTCATTATTTATGGAGAAAATAATTTCGGTTTTCAAATTGTCTTAAGGAACGAATTATTTTTGAAACAGGAGATTTCACTGTATTTTCGTTTATTAAAACTATATATGTGTTTTGTAGTTATTGCAAATAAATAAAATTTGTATATTTATTATGAAACATTTTTATTTTGAATAGTTTTGTCTTATAACTTTTTCTGTTATGTGTTTTATATGTTTTTAGAATATATCCAAATAATTGAGTCTCAAAGTCAAAACAAAACAAAAACCTCAGTTTTCGAACAAAATTTCACTTCCCGCACAATTCAATTTCATAATCAAATATGTTTAATTATGTGTTTAACATTAACTTTGCTTTTCATATTACATATAATGAAAATTTTTACGTTATTTTGGTGACAAATTATTTATTTAGTTGCAATTATAGCACATTCTTTCAATAAAATATAAATATATGAACATAATTTAATTATGCTAAAATAATTAAAATATAAAACATGTAAAATTAATATAAAAATACACAAAATTTAGTAAAATTGAATATATTAATATAATAATACCTTAGTTTTCGAACAGAATTTAGCTTCCCGCAAAATTTCATAATAAAATATATTTAATTCTGTGTTTAACATCAACTTCGCTCTGCATTTTACAAATAATGAAATCGGTATTCTTTTGTCTTTGTTATGTTTTGACAGCAAAAGTTTAATAAAGTGGATGATCCTTGAAAAAGGATCAAGACAGCTGATATTACATAAAAAACAAAAGCGATGTAATCGCAACCCGGGGAAACGCGTGTCGCTCGTGACGTTGGCTTCGTTCTCAGTTAAGAAGTCGAAAGATCAACATCCCCATTTCAACCCTCGCGACTAGACACGCCGTTGCCAGGACGACCGAACACCCGCCAGTCCTGCGCCCGTCGCATCCTCACATCGAAAACAACCCTGCAACACACAAAGCAGTTGTTCCCAAAACATAAACACAATATGATATCAAAAACGTAAAAGCACTTAAATTGATACAATCATTTTTTTTGTATAATAAAAAAACAACAACACACGTGTGTCCATACATATTTCTAAATTAGTATAATGATGAGATTTTTAATTGTTGCAGTAACGAAAAGCAGGTAAACCAAGGTAATGATTTTATTTAAATCTAATTATTGTTTGAATTCGTGCACTTTTAATAGAAATTATACCGATTCGGAATAAAATCCCGACACTGATAAAGTTGATTGAGGATTGCCAAAATCCGATAAAATGTTCGGGATTTTGATACTATGATTGTCGAGATTTCGATTGTCAGGATTTCGATATAGACCCGAATTGTCCAAAGTTTATTTTTTGTTGACATTAAGTTAAAAAGTAATTGTTTTTTTTAAATTTCGTAAATCGAGGAATGTTGATTGCGGTTTTCTTTGATGACGAATATCTTAAGCGGAAACCAGTCGTGATTGTGGTAATAAATCCAGATGTATGTTCTTGTCTGGATAATGGCAGAAGTAATCTGAAATTTATGACCGTTTCCTATTAGAGAAACGCGCGATATTTCGGCATGGCTCGGCTGGAAAAGCGGGGTTTTGGTGGGGCCTAGATTAAAAATAGTAAACTTAATGGAAATATTTACACAGTTTTTAGTGATGATGGTTAGTTAGTGCGAGCGAGTCGACGACGCGACGGGAATTGTATTTTTTTTTGTTTGCAAAAAAAAAAGAAAATCCTTCACTTTTCCTTTTTCCAAAGGAGACCTAATTTCCATCGCGCGCCGTATTCCGACGCGCTTCAGGTCTAAGCTACGATTATTTGGTCTATTTACCACCGCGTTCGGATGATATAAATATAGTCCGCGTGTTTTTGTGCTCGAAGGGTTCCTCATTTCCCATCATTCTCTCCACTTGCTTGTGTCGCGCATTGCAAACGTTTCTTCGTAATAAAAATAATTTAACAAATAGAATCGAAAAAAAGAAATGCGAATGATGGAAATATAGTGGTTTAAAGTGGTTTTTGCCAGTGTTTCCCAGGAGGGAAGGCCGTTAATATCTCCGCGTTCAAAATTAATGCTATTATGTGGTAAGTGCACACTCATTAACTTAATAGAAGTCCGGTGTTTAATTTCAACATTGCAGTTCTCTTAAACGTATGTTTGCATATCCAATTTCACGAAATACCGCTCCTAAAACCAATTAATTCATATCAGTCTTATAAAATCAATTGCATCAAATAATTACATTTTCAAATCTCTTCAAGAAAATAATTTATACTTAACAAAAATTGATTTAAGCAACAATTACTGAAGTTAACGGTTCATTATGTTACACACATCAGCATTACTTAAATCAACTTATTAATTATGTATAAAATCAATAAACATTATTTATTTTAACAATTATTCTTATAAGTCTTATTAGGAATATGTTTTTACAAGTATTAGTTTTAATAGATTTACAATTATCGAAGAGAACGTTCCACAAATAACACAAAATATTACAAATTTTGATATTAAAATCAATATATAAAATTGTTATTGTGTAAAAATGTTCATAAAATAATTCAACTTTTATATTCCTTCAAAAATTCAGAAAATTTACATTACACATACACATTAGAAACTTTTGTAAATTACAAAATCAATCAATAAAATGATTTGCAAAAATATTCATAAATAATTATTTTTATTAATTTAGATTTTCTTTTAAAGAATATAACTTGTTATCAATCTACAATTAATACAGCTAAAATTTCATAAATTACTCTATAAATTACAAACTTTAATAGTTAAAAAATCAATATGAAATTAATTAGAAATTCATTTATAAAATAGTAAGTAGTTTAAAAAAAATCAAGAAAATTTGTAATTGCAATTTAAATGATTATTATTAGTGTTAATAACAATTAATGAATATAAGTTTTTACATCAAAAATTAAGAAAAAATGATGAAAATTTTGAAACATTTCAAGAAAATATTATACTACTTAATCACTACTAAAAAATCAATCCAAAATCTAAATTAATTACTTTTTTTATTTAATATTTAAGAAAATAATTTTGTAACTAAAATTCTTGTTTTAATAATTCAACAATTAATGAAGAAGTTTGATTCACAAATTACACAAAATATTACAAATACTAAATGAATCCATGCTTCCATTGTGACAGGTTGTTATTTTTCGCAACGAAATCCACAAACATCGGCACCAAGAAGGCTTTTTTTTAAAGTAAAAAGTGTCAAAATGCCACCAAAATTCGATTCCACTGAAATTAAATACGTATATTTGAGGTGCGTTGGTGGAGAAGTAGGTGTTACTTCTTCCTTGGTCTCAAAGGTCGGTCCTCTAGGTTTGTCCCCAAAGAAAATTGGTGATGATATTGCCAAAGGAATCGCAGACTGTAAAGGTCTGAAGATCATAGTCCAGGTGAAAATTCAAATTCTGTTCTTCCTACCGCCTCAACCTTAATTATTAAGGCTCTTAAATCAATGGAAAAACAATGAAATAAATTATATATAGAAAAATCTTCAAGAAAATAGTTATTATTAGTACAGTAGAACAAGGATTAACGAGTTTAATCCGTAAAAAAAAAATGCGTATAGTGAAACATATTCAAAAATACATATAATATGTGTATACAAGTTTTAAAAATGATGTAGAAGGCGCAAAATCCAGGACTTTTCTTCTCGTTAAGCGAGTCATTTTTCTTACAATTCACTATATTAATTAATGTACATTTAGTTAAGACAATTTACAAATTACATTATAAATTACTGATTATCGCAATAATAAAATCAATTAATAAATATCACTAAAATCAAATAATATTTCAAAATATTTGCAATAAATTTTACAAAAAAAAATACATAGAAAATTATAAATAAATATTGAATAGTAATGAAATATACACGTTTTATTCTTGGAAATACGTGCTGGGACAGAAGAAGTGCATGGGTTTTCACTGATGTTGACTGATGCAATTCCACGTGCAATGCTAATTGCCGAGAATTTTCCACCTTTTTGTTTTTGTTTATTATTTTTTTTCCTTGTCACAGAGTAAACGATTTCTTTTTCACTCTTATAGATGTACCGCGACAATGCATGCTCGCATCTATTTTTATGTTTTATATACTACTACTTCCAGCAGTCTGAGTTTCGTATAAACGTACACATTTTAGATGAGAGGAAAAGGAAGTCCCGAAATAACTTATAGACTTTGTCTCCATAATGTCCAGAAATAAAGATCTTAGCGCTTTGGTCTTCGATGATATCATTTGAAATCGCTTAAAAAAAGTTGCATAAGAAAAAAATGTTGAATGAGTAATTTATGTTTGTTTATTGTTCCAAGAATTGTTTTTGTTTTATTCAATATTATTGAATATTCTTAGAAAACTTATTTTATACGTTTTACTAAAGGAATGTTGTAACTTTAGATTCATTGAAAAGAAATAAACACAAATTTTATATGCATATATTATTGAAACTTTCTAGAAAACTTCCTTTTTTAAAATCTACTAAAGAAACGTTGATACCTTTAATTCATTGAAAAAGAAGTAAACTCAAATTGTATGTGCATATATTATTGAAACTTTCTAGAAAACTCAGTTTCTACATTTTACTAAAGAAACGTTGATAATTTAAAGTCATTGAAAGGAAATAAACTCAAATTTCATGTGCAGATATTATTGAAAATTTCTAGAAAACTCACTTTATAAATTCTACTAAAGAAACGATCTTACTTTAGATTTATTTAAAAGAAATAAACTCAAACTTTCCAGAAAACTCACTTTATAAATTTTTCTCAAGAAACGTTGATACTTTAGATTCATTGAAAAAGAACTAAGCTCAAATTTTTTGTGCAGATATTATTGAAACTTTCTAGGAAACTTACTTTATACATTTTGCTAAAGAAACGTTGATATTTTAGATTCGTTGAAAAAGTAGTAAACTCAAACTTTCTAGAAAACTCACTTTATACATTTTATTTAAGAAACTTTGTTAGTTTAAATTCATTAAAAAAAAACTTAAATTTCAAATTTTTTATGTGCATATATAAATTGAAAGTTTATAGAAAACTAACTTTAAAATATTTAAAAAAAAAAGTTGCTACTTTAGATGCCTTAAAAGGAAATAAACTCAAATTTTATATGCAGATATTATTGAAACTTTCTAGAAAACTCACTTTATTCTACTAAAGAAACGTTGATACTTTAGATTCGTTGAAAAAGAAGTAAACTCAAATTTTATATACAGATATTATTGAAACTTTCTAGAAAACTCACTTTATTATACTAAAGAAACGTTGATACTTTAGATTCATTGAAAAAGAAGTAAACTCAAATTGTATGTGCAGATATTATTGAAACTTTCTAGAAAACTCACTTTATAAGTTTTACTAAAGAAACGATCTTACTTTAGATTTATTTAAAAGAAATAAACTCAAATTTTCTGTGCAGATATTATTGAAATTTTCTAGAAAACTCAGTTTCTACATTTTACTAAAGAAATCTTGATACTTTAAAGTCATTGAAATGAAATAAACTCAAATTTCATGTGCAGATATTACTAATATTTTCTCGAAAACTCACTTTATTTGTTTTACTAAAGAAACGTTGTTACTTTAGATTCATTGAAAAAGACGTAAACTCAAATTTTATATGCAGATATTATTGAAACTTTCTAGAAAACTCACTTTATAAGTTTTACTAAAGAAACGATCTTACTTTAGATTTATTTAAAAGAAATAAACTCAAATTTTCTGTGCAGATATTATTGAAATTTTCTATATAACTCAATTTCTACATTTTACTAAAGAAACGTTGTTACTTTAGATTAATTGAAAAAGTAGTAAACTCAAATTTTATATGCAGATATTATTGATACTTTATAGAATTTTGCTAAAGAAACTTTGATATTTTAGATTCGTTGAAAAAGTAGTAAACTCAAATTTTCTAGAAAACTCACTTTATACATTTTACTAAAGAAACTTTCATACTTGGGATTCATTGAAAAAGAAGTAAACTTAAATTTCATGTGCAAATATTATTGAAACTTTCTAGAAAACTCACTTTATACATTTTACTAAAGAAACTTTCATACTTGAGATTCATTGAAAAAGAATTAAACTCAAATTTCATGTGCAGATATTATTGAAATTTCCTAGAAAACTCACTTTATATATTTGACTAAAGAAACGTTGATACTTTAGATTCGTTGAAAAAGAAGTAAACTCAAATTTTATATGCAGATATTATTGAAACTTTATAGAATTTTCTAAAGAAACGTTGATATTTTAGATTCGTTGAAAAAGTAGTAAACTCAAATTTTCTAAAAAACTCACTTTATACATTTTACTAAAGAAACTTTCATACTTGAGATTCATTGAAAAAGAAGTAAAATCAAATTTCATGTGCAGATATTATTGAAATTTCCTAGAAAACTCATTTCATATATTTGACTAAAGAAACGTTGATACTTTAGATTCGTTGAAAAAGAAGTAAACTCAAATTTTATGTGCAGATATTATTGAAACTTTCTAGAAAACTCAGTTTCTACATTTTACTAAAGAAATCTTGATACTTGAAAGTCATTGAAAGGAAATAAACTCAATTATCATGTGCAGATATTACTAATATTTTCTCGAAAACTTACTTTATATGTTTTACTAAAGAAACGTTGTTACTTTAGATTCATTGAAAAAGTAGTAAACTTAAATTGTATGTGCAGATATTATTGAAACTTTCTAGAAAACTCACTTTATACATTTTGCTAAAGAAACGTTGATACTTTAGATTCATTAAAAGGAAATAAACTCAAATTTTATATGCAGATATTATTGAAACTTTCTAGAAAACTCACTTTATAAATTTTACTAAAGAAACTTTCATACTTGAGATACATTGAAAGTAAATAAACTCAATTACGTAACGCATCTCTTCCTCAAATTGGATTCACTTTCAATCATTTTTTATTGGACTTTTCTTGAAGGGGAGGACTAAATAGGATGAAAGCTCGATTCCTTTATTGGTCTTTCGACGCACTCTCCCTCTTCTGTTAAGCTTTTTTTTTCTCTTGCACGAGGGAGTACTTACCCCAAAAGATTTGGTATAAAGAGGAAACGTATACAAAAACATCTCACGTACCGGAAATCATTATTCCTGATGACTTTCCCAATAATATTTAGTATAAATTTGTTTGAATTAAAAGCAAACCAAATAATAATCAATATCCATCAAGTATGGTAAAACAATTGATTATACAACAAAATATGGTATGTTTTTGTTATTTATACGTTACGTAAAGAATAACAATTGAGCGTTTATTCGGAAACGTTTATTGTAATTTATTTTTACGCTCAATGCCAGAGGAAACTAAATCCATTGTGTATCGATGATGCAATCAAATCCGGTTAGTTAATTACGTTTAATGTAGTTCGCATAGAAATGAACATCGTTGATTAAGAATTGCATTATTATTTTTATTTATTGCAATGCGGTTCATCTCGGAATTTCATTTACATCTGATGACATTAGTTTCCATGGTTATTGTTGCGTTCACCAGGATCTTGAAAATTATGAAGAATCGCCTAGGCAACCCAAACGTCAGGAATTCCCCGACCAAGTTCGTACTTGTTTCGAAAACAAAATACAATCATTTCATACCTAGTGATGTTCGCACGAGTTTCTTGAAAGGAAAAAATAGAAACGAGGATTATTATTAGCTACTTTTTCTTGAGTTATCAGTGAAAACAATGTGAAACGAAAATTAAGTGTTTTGTTTAGAAGGAAAAAAAAATGATTGTATTACCATTTCCAAGCAATGACTCACGTCTATAAAAATCTTAAGTAAGTAATTTCATGGATTTAAACACTGTTTTTATTAATAAATAAAAGGAAAATAAATTATATTAATTAATGGTTTACTATCAAGTTTCAGCGGCAGACGAAGAGTTTAATGAAAGTACAAGAACAATGACTTTGATTGAAAGTAATCTGTTCATAAGATTACCAAAAAAAAATAATCTGCTTCATCTGGTATTTCTCTTATTCGGTCCTTGAACGCGCAAACTAAGCTATTTCTTAATCTTATATACTAATTATATTTCATTTCACGAGGCAGCAAATAATAGTCATAATAATTGTTGCTCTAAATTCACTAACAAAAAAATATTTATTTATTGATTATGTATGATTATGTAATTAGTTTAATACGTCATCAGCATGAATGATAATTTTATCTTTTGTTAACTTAACGTTTGATTCACCTTTTTTCTAAATAATTACGTTGACCTTCGTATATAAACGTATACCTAATTTAGGTATTTTTTTTTTCTACAACTTGTTTTTCCTTTTTTAATCGAATAACTTCATTGAACTTCCTCATTTCCTACAAGACTTTTCTATAGTTTTATTTATTTAGTTTTATTAATTATTAATAATCAAATTAATTTTGACTAGTTGTCAAAATATCAATGGTTGTCAAATTTTCATAAAATTATTTTCAAATTTTATTGAAGTAATTGTGTTAAATAAAATAAGTTTATTTGAAGCTTCTTTGAACCTCTTCCCTTCCTATAAGACTTGTTTCTTCATTTTTTGGTTTAACTCGTTTAATAATAATGAAATTAGTTATATTTTCAGTAATTTTGACAAATCTAAGTTGTCAAATTTTCATTAATTAGTGAAATTATTTTCAAGTTTTATTGAAGTAATTGTGTTAAATAAAATAAGTCTATTTGAAGCTTCTTTGAACTTCTTCACTTCCTATAATTTCACATTTTCATGTACTTCATTAAATTAATTTAAAAGTTTATTAACGCAATTGTGTTAAGTAAAATAAATATATTTGAGTATCTTCTTTGAACCTTTTCATTTCCTATACGATTTTGATCTTCATTTTGTAAATATAATAAAACTAATTAATACTTACATTATTTATACTTGCAGTAATTTTGACTATCGAAATGTCATTAGTTGTCACATTTTCATTAATTCATGAAATTATTTTCAAATTTTATTGAAGTAATTGTGATAAGTAAATTAAGTCTATTTAAAGCTTCTCTTCATTTTCTATAAGACTTGTTTCTTCATTTTTTGGTTTAACTCGTTTAATAATAATGAAATTAGCTATATTTTCAGTAATTTTGACATTTCGAAATGTCATTAGTTGTCAAATTTTCATTAATTCATGAAATTATTTTCAAGTTTTATTGAAGTAATTTTGTTAAGTAAAATAATTCTATTTGAAGCTTCTTTTAACCTCTTTATTACCTATAAGCCTTTTTTTTCTTATTTTTTTGATTTAACTCGTTTAGTAATAATGAAATTAGTTATATTTTCAGTTATTTTGACATATCGAAATGTCATTAGTTGTCAAATTTGCATTAATTCATGAAATTATTTTCAAATTTTATTAAAGCCATTGTGTTAAGTAAAAAAAAAGAATATTTAAAGCTTTTTTGAATTTCCTCATATCCTACAAGATTTTCAATCATAATTTTTAAATTGAACTAAACTATTTTTACTTGCAGTTATTTTGAAATATCTAAATGTCATTATTTGTCACCGGTGGCAATCGCAAGCCCGTCAACCAAAATACCGCCAATCAAATTCCCGACGTTCGAAATCCCGACGTTTGTAATGCCGACTGTATCGAAATCCCGTCAACCATAATCCCGACTATATCAAAATCCCGACAACCATAATCCCGACTGTATTAAAATCCCGACTATATCAAAAATATCTACAATAACATTTTTAAATTATTCCGGAGCGTAGTGACTTTTAAATTGTTATTAATAATAAATAATAACAATTAATAATCTAATTAAATTTGAGATTATTTCATAATGTTAAGGTTTATTATGAATAATTCAACAAAATCAAATAAATTAATAATAATTTATTGTTATTAATAATAAAAGTGTAGCACAAGGCGACTACGCTCCGAAATAATTTAAAAATGTTATTGTAAACATTTTCGATATAGTCGGAATTTTGATATAGTCGAGATTATGTTTGTCGGGATTATGGTTATCGAGATTCTGCTACAGTCGGATTGTCGAGATTTTGATATAGTCGGGATTTCGAACGTTGGGATTTCGATACAGTCGGGATTTTGATACAGTCGGGATTTTGATATAGTCGGGATTATATTTGTCGGGATTATGGTTGTCGGGATTCTGATACATTCGGATTGTCGAGATTTTGATATAGTCGGCATTTCGAACGTTGGGATTTCAATAGACGGTCTTTCGGTTGTCACATATTTATTTACTTTGTTAAATGAATTTCAAAGTTTATTCAAGCAATTGTGTTAAGTAAAATAAGTATATTTAAGAAACTTTTTTCAACCAACTCATTTCCTATAAGAATGTATTCTTCAGTTTGTACAAATTTAAATAAAACTAATTAATACTTAAATTATTTATACTTGCAGTAATTTGGACATATCAAAATGTCCATTAGTTGTCACATTTTCATGTCTTTTATTAAATTAGTTTCAAAGTTTATTAAAGCAATTGTGTTGAGTAAAAAAAGTATACTTGAAGCATTTTTTAATTTCCTCATATCCTACAAGATTTTTAATCTCAATTTTTAAACAAAAAAACTAAACTATTTCTACTTGCAGTAATTTTGAAATATCTAAATGGAAATATTTGTCACATATTCATTTACTACGTTAAAAGACTTTCAAAGTTTATTGAAGCAATTGTGTTAAGTAAAATAAGTCTTCGGTTCCTATAAGAATTTTTTCTTCATTTTGTACGTTTTTTTAAACTTAGTTATTACTAATTAAATCATTTTCATTTACATCATAAAATCGAAGTTTTGAAATATATTGATGCAATTGTGTTAAGTAAAAAAGTCTATTTGAAACTTCCTTGAATCTCTTAATTTCTTATAAGATTTGTAAACTTATTAAAGTTTATTGAAGAACTTGTGTTAAGTTCACAAAACAATCAATGAAACTTCAATCATTGAATTTCTTAATTTTTGTACAATAATTTTATAAATTTTTAATCAAAAATATTTTATGATTCATCAACATTTTGGCTTAGTTCATTAAATTAGTTTTATTGAAGAAATTGTGTACAAAACGTAACAATAATTAGTTATTTTTTGAGTATGTTATTAAATTAATAACAGATATATGAATTTATAATTTGGTTGTTTACCTTGTATAAATATATAATTTAAGGTGAACGTGAATGAAAAGGTAACACGAAAATAAACTTGATTTTGCTGGAAAGTACTCATTAACACGAAGATTCGTTATAAATTTTGGGTTTTTATCATCACAATATCCGTGATGATAACAATCGATAAAGTTGTTATTGCATCAGAGATAGTGAATTTTGGTATATAATCAATTAGTTTGTTTATTTATTTACGACATTGATTTTGATAGTGAAGATTAAAATACTAATGTAAACAGTGAATTTCGTTTCGTTTGTTGCTCTCTTTTCTGCAGACGAAGGTCGACCTGTATGCATGTTCCGTACGGCGTCTTTCTGCGTTCGAGTTTGTCGGAGGAGCCATGAGCGGCGGGTCGGAGGATCCGGAGAACAGGACCCTCATAAGTCCTGCCACGACCCCCGGATCCATGGACAACGGTGTCTTCGTCACGTCCAATTACTACATCCCTCAACCCACGAAGAAGGTCAAATGGTACAGCACTTTATACATACCGAAGATGCTCATTATCATTTCCATCTTACAAGTAAGTTTATATTTGAACAAATTTTATTATATATTCGTAATCCCGATAACCATAATCATGGTATTATGCTGTCGGGATTTTGATACTGTCGGGTTTATGGTTGTCGGGATTGACCGCACTGTTATTATACATATAAATAAAACGTTTGAATTGCATAAAACATCCGATGAGTTTGAAGGAAATGGTGCAATGTAAATGACTAATTGGATCATACACTTGGGATTTTGGGTCAGATTGAAAATAGTTTCAATAATAAACAAGATCCGAGAGAAGATCTGTTTACTCATTGCTTCGAACTACTCGTTGCTAGGCAACAGAGTTAGAGGATACAAATGTATAACGAATGTCATCGTAAATTGTGTAGACAACGTTTATTTAATGTTAATGATTTATGTATATGGTGATGAAAACAAAGTGAATGTTGCACATAAAAAATAATGAACCTGGCGACATGTTATTTCGACCCTCTTTCACATAAAACATAATCGAGTCTAAGAAACGCACGACTTTGATGGGTTTTGATGATACAAGGGAATTGAATTGTGTTTCTGAGCAAGCCTTTTTCGTGCTTTGAAGCAATTGAATTCAAAGAGGGAAAAAACACAATTATTTCTTATATAAATATAAATAATTACATTACTTAGATAGAAAATGTCATAGAATAATATAATTATTTTGATATTTATGATTATATAGAGGAATTAATTAGTAATTAATTTTAGAAAATAAGTCCAAAATAATTGATATTACTATTTGAAGTAAGTTTATATATAATTTTATAGTAATTAAATAAACTGTGAAGAAAAACGAGTAAACGCAACATCTGTCAAAAACTGACACTGACAAATAAACTATGAGGCATAATTTTCAAAGTTTTAATTTTACTATGTGAAATTTTTAAAGTTGGATAGTTTTCTGCTTAAGATTCTTATTCAATGACGTAATTAGTTGGAATGGATAACTAGTACTATAATAACATGAAAGATGAAGACATTGTATAATCAATTTTGACAGCTTATAATAGATGAACAGCGCGATCCATGAATCTTTTAAGAGACGCATTGGAAAGACCATAACTTCATCTTTAATTTGCATATTCAATGATTTGATTGACATTTGCGATTGTTGAGAAATTTAATAAAGAATAAGGACATTTTTTAAAATTGTATTTTTTAATTTAACTTTGACAAGTTATTACTGACGAACAAACAAATCTGTCAGTACACGGATTGGAAAAATTGCAATTTCGTATATGTTATTTTCAATTATCTAATTATTTTGCGTAAATAGAAAGTGAAGATATTAATTAGTAAACTGTCAATAATTGACAGATGACAGTTATGTAACTTAGATACTGTCATACATTAACTGTACAATATCTAGTTATTATATAAAATTATTGTATAACATATTTAAATTATAATAACAGCTTATACATTATTAATTGTTGCTAAGAAGTTATTAAAAAAAAGAATCAACCGACGAGGATGGGATTCGAACCCACGCGGGCAGAGCCCATTGGATTAGCAGTCCAACGCCTTAACCACTCGGCCACCTCGTCCTATAAGTAATATGCACTGTATGATATATACTAGGAGCCTCGATTATTGCTTATCATTTACTCGCTGATAACGATACACCTAATCATAATATTAACAAATATTTACGTAACACTTGTATCTACAACTAAATAAATTTATTTCATATTTATATTCTGCATTTTTAACTAAATAATTCAAATTATGACGTATATATCCGTCGTGGTCTCTTGTTTAACGTAGCGCTTATGACGAATATATTCGCATCATGAATTCACTTGGTATTCTTAATGGTTATGTCAAATATAGTCGTAATCGTTTCGATATAGAAAACATAACGTAAATATTTTTACTGATGAATTAATACCCAGAGATGGAATTCTGAACAAGGTGGAATATTGTCTGGTGTTGTCGTTATGAAGTCTCAGTTGTAGGAATTCAATTGGTTTTAAACAAGTTTATTATAATAGTTGGTACTCTTGGGGTCCTTTTTAAGACAATGTAGATACTTTGATAAATTGACTAAGACTTTGCTCATCATATTAAGGTTTTACTGAGACTAATTCTAAATACTTATTCTACTTACAAAGTTAATTCTTGTTAATACGGGGTGGGAGTTGTGATTGGTAGTAGGGCTTTGTATATATTGATGATTAAGCATTCCTACGGGATTCGGCCTTGGTTGTTTTGTTTATTATAAGACCGGGACAAAATCCTATGCATTTGTCCACTATATGAAAAAGATTATCGATTACGATTGTATGATCATTATGTGTTTATAATAAGGACTTGAATTCAGTATAAAGGTATAGAAGTATAGATGGGATTGTTTACGCTTGGTCCGCTTTGTTTATATTAAAGTGTATCGAACTAGGATCATGGTAGAAATTCCTTTATGCTTATGTATATGTTTATATAATAATGGGACTAAGAGACGCCGTGGATGTCTCTAGTTCGTTAATACACTATATTAATAATAACAATTATAATTTTTACATTTTTATTTTGTAGATTTTGATGTATTACTTGGATTTGAAAATGGATAACAGACTGCAACTGATTTTACGTTTTGAGCCTAAGAAACAGCAAGAGCTCTGGCGTTTCATCAGTTACATGCTGATGCACGACAGTTGGATGCATCTCTTCCTCAACGTCATTCCGCAATGCTTCTTCGGTATAATCTTGGAGAAAACTCAGCCTAATTGGAAGGTGATTCTAGTGTACATCGGGGGTGGAATCGGAGGAGCCCTTGGAGCAGTCTGCGTACGTTCCAGACTACTAGTTGGAGCATCGGCCGGAGTTTACGCGATTTTAGCCTCGAATATATCCTATTACGTCTTGGTAAATAAACTCATAAATTAAAAAAATATTTAAAAAAAAAACAACAACAACTAATATTAAACTTATTTCAAGAACTTCACCATGATCAAATACAAGAAATCGTATTGCAGCGCATTCATAGTGATCATCGTCTCAGACATTTCGTACACCGTGATCCATTGCAAAGTCATCAAGTATCCGGAAATCTCGTGGGCCGCACATCTCTTCGGCGCTGTCACCGGTTGCATAATTGGACTCCTCTTCTACGGACACAGTTACCAAGACAAGAACACGTCAAAGTTCGTCAGAATCTTCGCGTTTGCCATACTAGTCATTTTAATCATTTCACTTATAGTTTTAGATTGTCTAGACTTTCGATAATTTGTTTATGAAATTTGTTTTTTTTTGTTTAATTTCCAATGTGCAAGCTCATAATGTTAATTGTTTAATTATGTTGATGTTATTAGAAATGTTATTCTGTTTTTGTTCAAAAAAAAAACGCAATCATACGTACTCAGGTTAATAATAATTAAGTGTATACAATATTAAAAGTTATAAGTATTTTTGCACTTTTGTACTTTTATATCTATGATAAAAGCATTTGGAAATAAGATTTATTGTGACTTTATGTTCGATTCGTCGTTAGTCGGTACTTAATGCGAGAACATAGACTGTTTTGTGATAGTTAGACATGATTGTTGATGTATGTGATATGCCATAAACATTTTTCCTTTTATTATTTCTTTCTAATTTATTTGATATATTTCTGTCCAGTATTTTGTCTCACTTTGATCTTCTTTGCATTTAACACTATTTTATAACTAATTATGTAACTATACAATTAGAATTTTCTTTATGTAAAATTTCGAAATATTGGACTTTTTATAAAATGAATTATACTTGATTACTATGTTTACAAACATTCTAGTCTATTTTAAGTGTTGATGTTCATTTTTTTTTCAGTTAAGTTGTGTTAGTATTAAAGGAAATGATAAAAATGAATGAATTTAGGAAAAAAAATAAATAAATTGTACAAAAAAAATGTATTTGTATTTTAAATAATTATAATTAAATGATAGTAAATTCGAATAAACATATTGTTCCCCCCTAGATGCGTTAAAATAATAAAGAGAATGTGAATTAACGCCTGTTAACCACAGTGTCTCGGGTCAAAGGTCGATTCGCACTGACAATTTCATATAACGATCATCAGTGCAAAGCGACCAATGATGCTACTAGCTTAAGTTTAAACCTTAGGAGAGTAGAGGGAAATGAATGAAAATGTGGCATGATGCGACTGGTATGATTCGAATCTATGGAAAGACAAGTCGGGCATAGCAATCAAATACTAATCACTATTACTAACTTAATATAAAATAGATGAATCCATATATAAATAAATATATATTTATATATAGAATGAGAATGAGGGGGGAGAGTGGAAATGGGGTAGCAGTCTCAACTAACGGCCGAAGATTTGAATCTTATTTTTTTCTATTCAAAGTGGCGCGTTAATAAATACACATTCATTTTCATCAAACTTCTTTTTGTTTTGAGATCGTTTGCGTCGCTCGCCGAACAACCACATTCAGCACTTCAGATTCTCGCAGTGGACTCCAGTTTCCGTGCACTTGCATTCCTGGCAAGGCCCGGACAGCTCGGAAATTATCCTTCCGACCCTGTACATCCTTCCGTAGATGTTGCAACCTGCGAGTTTCAGATGTCCAACGCCGGAATCGTGCCCGTTCTGCTTTCTGAAGATATTGTCACCTAAATTCTCGCGCGTCTCCAAGAGATTATTATGATTGGCTGTGCGTATCTCCAAATTTAAGCTTGTGGTCGATGTTGTTTTCGGAGATTCTTCAGTGGTAGACGCTTCAGAGGAGAACAAATTCTCCCACAGTTTACTTAACGAAAAATATTCAGGTTCTTCAGATGCTGTCGATGTTGGTGGTGGTATTGTAGTAGATGGTGCAGAAGTTGTTGATTGTTTCAGCAAGAAATTTGACATATCTCCGATTAACAGTTGAAGGTTTGGAGCTGGCTCGGTTCTTATGACATCTCTGAAAGGGTCTTGCGCCAAGATACTATCAGCTACCGTTATGGAGTCTTGAGGCTTTGAAGTAACCTCGAGGACTACTGTTGGTGACTCTTTATCATCTGCAATACATGATGATTATAAATATATCTTAACAATTTAAAAAATATAATTTACTGCAAATTTGATGCGGACAACAGGTGGATCTATCAATTGTATTGGAATTCCTGCATCCTGATCTAGGGATCGGGCATTGAGGCTCGTGGTATACAATGCTTCCATAGTAACAGGTGCAAATCGTGCAGCTGCCTTCGGGCGTAACGACATCTCCATGCTTGATCTCTTTTCCATCGACTACACAATTATCTGCAAAAGAAAAGAGTGTAATAAAAACAAGGAACAAATAATTTTCTTAACTCACTTTCGTTTGATTTGGGTGGATTCGTGATCGCTGGTACTGGCAGAGTCGTCGCAACGTTAGTGCCAATATTTGTAGAATGATAATTGTTTTCGTAGAATCCGTCGAGTAGTGGAGGTTCTTTAGGCACGAAACCACCTGCAAAAGTGAAAGACGCGATTCAATGATTTATTGGACACTTAAAACACAATTACCACCTTCGGTCTTCGCCGGCGGCGAGAACAGATTGTTGAAGGGAAAACCGTCTTGCGAGAAGACGTTCTTACTTGTTACTTGCACCAATTTGGAATCAACTGCGTCCTCGGCCACGAAAGGAATGATCCTGCGAAATACTAATTTAGTAATAATAATCTTAGGGAAGGACAATAGTAAGTACTTTAAATTCGGCAAGGATGGTGGGAGAGTCGGCGGAACAAAATCGTAGTCAAGATCTTGATCTTTAGTTTTCGTGCTATTCGATATAACGTCGTTTTCCTTCTTGGGATTAACAGTCGCCAATTTCACCTTACTCTCCAAGACGATCGTTTCCGTGGTTGTGAAATCTTCTGTAGTTGTTTCAGTTGTTATTTCTTCAACTTTAGGAATGCAGTCTGTTGTATTCAAAACCGTGATCAATTTGGAACTGGTTTCTGAGGTTGTCACTTCTTCGGTGGTAATTTCCGTTGTTGGAACGTCCGTCGTTGTTTCATAATCGCCGGTCGTCGTTTCTTCCGTGTTCGAGTACGTTGTAGTTTCTGGACTATCAGTCGTATAAGTCGCTTCCTCTTCAAAAGTTGTAGTCTCGACTTCCGATCTGTTATCAATCCTTCTATTGATTCTGCTATCCAACAAATCCATTTCCGCTTTTATCGATTTATAATTAGTGAATTTCTTATGACGAATCGTGGTTTCGAATTGCTTGGGTTTACTGCTCGTGGACTTCTCGACTTTCGTTGGAACATAGTAGATCTCCGGAAAAACGTGTTTCTCTTCATCTGAATCCTTATGGAAGACCGGCGCTTGGGTGGCACCGAAGAATTGCCTTGTAGTGGGTCTTCTGCTGGTTTCGGCTATCACGTAATAGGGATCTCGATGCTGAGCTTCTTTCCGTAATTTCGCGTAATCTTGACTTACGATTGGAAAGTGACCGTAATTAGGTTCAGGCTGTGTTTCGATCGTCCCACCTTTAACAAATTCGTGATTAGTTTAAGATTTGCCGTGGAGGCGTATCGCACTTACTGCAGTTGTAACTGGCCGCGCAACATTCGCCCTTCTTGATGACCGGAGTGCAACCCAAGAGTGGCGGAGCGCAAGAGAGAGGTTCGCAACGGACGAAGCCTCTTAAGCAGTAACAGTTATGGCAGATGGAATAACCTATACCAAAGACTTTAGCTCCTTCTTGGTAGAAGTTACCATCAACAATGCAACCACCTAAATGAGAGTTATTAATTTTATTGTTTGAACTAATTGTTGTTTTGTTACTTTTAGTCTCGTATTCTTCGGGTGATATAGTAGTCGTGGTTGTGGTGAATAGGCTTTTCGTACAGTTGTAATGAACTGGGCAACAATCGTTCGATTCGTATGCCGGGACGCATCCATCCACTGGTAGTAAACACCTTGGCTTCACGCACCTTTGTTGACCACCCAGACAATAGCAATACTCGCATTCCGTGGAGGAATCCATTGCAGAACCAGGACCGTAAATACTGCCGTTCACCATGCAAGCTGCAAGAAGCGTTAAATAAATCGACTTCCTCAATATTTACAAGTTCCTCACCATCTTCCATATTGATTTTGCCTTGATCCAAATCCATGTCGTCCGGTTCCATGCGGCCTTCGATGCCGTTTCCAGAAGGAACATCTTCAAGACAAAACTAATGTAATGAGATTGAACGTGCAGTCGGATGTCGTTACCTGAGCATATCAATTCCGGGCAGCAGGATTTGAAGCGATGTAGCAGGATGCAGCCAGGTGGCGGAGGATTCGGAAGTCTCGGACATACCCTCAAGTAGCAGAGCAAGGCCCCACGGTTGCACGTGCAGTTCAAACACGGCTCCGTCGTCCGCACTTCGACACCCTCTTCGTGCTTTTCATTTTCGTACCAACAATCTGCAACAAAATAGAAATAATTTAAAAGTTTCGTTTTGTTTTAGACGACGCCTTTGAGTTTCTTCTTTTATTTTGCTGCCGGCTTGAATTGTACTGGTCAGTTTGTTTGTCGAGCAAATACTTGGAAAATAATGAACGCATGTAAATGTCCCCAGAGCCAAAGTAAATACGTGTCGCCAAGTGTAAGTGAAGACCTTCTGTTTCTTCTTTTTCTTCTGCATTTTAACAAGTCGTTACGAAGCCTTTTAATTTGTCTGCTGCACAGCACTTAACACGCACTTTAAACACCCATTCTACCTTTCCTTCTCTCACGAGAAGACAATCTTCTTCTCCTGGGAAGAAACCCGATCCGACGAGGATTGAGCGATTTATCGATCGGCTCCTCTTATCTTCGGCGAGCAGAAAATTAAGAAGGCAATATATCCTGCAACTCCTTTGCAATAAATTCGGAAACGTTGTTGCTGCTTGCTTTTTTTTTATATGCTATTCCTTTTCATTTGCAACCGATATAAAACAACACCCACATTTCTTTAATTCGCATCGAGATCGAAGCAACCTGAGAAGGATCACGAGATTTTATCATGCCATTAATCCAATGAGAACAGCTTGAACAAAATTCGTTACCAAGAGCAATAATTTATTAATAAAGAATTGAACATCGCATAATTCACTAATCAATAGACCTATTACTCGTTTTACACGGTACTCGATTAACACGGTTTAAATACCTATCTACCGTGTAAAACGAGTTATAAGAGTACTTACAAATTCTTTAACTGCTCACATTACAACTACGACTTAAATCTATTCGTTTTTTTTTCAACGCAAACTTTATCTGTTTCTTTTAAAATATATACCTCAATAAATCATTACATAATACCAAAACAACATCACCAACTGTTGCCGAATGCGAAAGCAGCAACAAAAACAACGAAAACGAAACTAAAGAAGAAAAAAAATAGCATTCAGGAAGTCTTGGACCATATGTCTTCAGATTCACACCATTGTAAGAAATTCGGTTCCAACCTTGGCTGGCTTAATTACACCATTTTTTTTTTCATTCCTTTCGGTCGGCGTTCCGTGCCATAAATCCAAGAACGAAAAACATAAAAACGAAGAGCAACAGCAGCAGAAGAGTAAAAACCAAAACTCCATTCACACACACACACACAGAGTGAAAGAGAGTTCAAGTTCATATTTACGACCGCTGTGGGAAGAAGATGGTATCAGTTCATTCATTTGCATTTGGAATCAATCGATGATTCCCACCTCAATTACCGGAGTTAATTAAACAGTCTAATTGATGTAATCCAATCCGCAGTTTTGTCTGTAAATTAAGAGTTTTTTTTTCGGTGACAGAATTTTAACTGTTAATCGCTTTATATTTGTGTTTATGAATTTTGTACATATTAGGACTAATTAGTGTAAGTTCAACCGGAAATTGGTCTCAACTAATTAAAACAGTTACAGATGCTGTTGAAGTTGTACCAATGTTGTAATCTAATTTAAAATTAGATAAATCAAAAATAAAATTATGTAATTTATATCATCTTTTTGTATCCAACATACTTTTTTGAAGTTCATAACATAAAATTGTTGATGCTTTGACACAAGGTGACAGCTGTCATTTTTCGACCTATTAAAAATTTGACGCAACCCATAGCTTGAGACACATAAATAAATATAATAAATTTAAAAAATCAATAGATATACATAAGTTATTTGTGAAAGTAACATTTTATTAATGAATATTTGAACTAATTTTGTTAATCAATGTATGAAAACAACTTGAAAAGTAGTAAAATAGAAATAATTAAACTACAAATAATTTATAACAACATTTAGTTTAGAATATAAAATGTTTGACACATTGACACAAGGTGACAGCTGTCATTTCATAACTCATTAAAAATTTGACACTATCCATTGATTGTTTGGTTTAGAACATAAAATGTTTGACACATTGACACAAGGTGACAGTAGTTATTTCATAACTCATTAAATATTTGACAGAATCCATTGATTGAGAAACGTTGATCTATACTATTAATTTGTATTCACATAGGACAGAACAACGTATACATTTATAATATTAACTTTCTCAAAAGATAAATAAATATAAGAAATTTAAAAAATCAATGTATATTAATGAATATTTCAATCAATTTGTTAATCAAAGTATGGAAACAACATGAAAAGTAGTAAAATAGAAATAATTAAACAACAAATAATTTATAACAACATTTGGTTTAGAACATAAAATGTTTGACACATTGACACAAGGTGACAGCTGTCATTTCTTAATTCATTTAAAATTTAACACAATCCATTGATTGAGAAATGGTGATCTATACTATTCAATTGTATTCACATAAGACAGAACAATGTGTAAATTTATAATATTAACTTTCTCAAAAGATAAATAAATATAAGAAATTTAAAAAATCTATAGATATTAATGATTATTTGAATTAATTTGTTAATCAAAGTACGAAAACAACATGAAAAGTAGTAATATAGAAACAATTAAATTACAAATAATTTACACAACATTTGGTTTAGAACAAAAAATGTTTGACGCATTGACACAAGGTGACAGCTGTCATTTCATGATCATAAAGACAAATATAAAGAAATATAAGTACTAAGTGAAATTTAAATAAATTAATGCATGTAGGTAAGTTATTTGTGAAACTGAAATTTCATTAATGCGATCAATTTATGAATCAAAGTATCAAAAAAATAAACATGAAAATTTTACAAATTTTCATTTTTGAGAAATTATGAAAGAACAAATAATGTTTAATGATATTTAGTACTATAAATCTAATGAAGATAGATTAAAAATAAATAAAAAAATAGTCTTGAATTCTCATGACAAAAATTCAATGTTTGTTGAGACATTTTGTTACAATACTGCAATTCCCTAAAAAAATACAATCATAATTTCACATGAGTTTAATAAACGTCGAAAGAATAAATAAAATGAAAAGATTAATGTCGAATTCTCAAGAGTTGAATACGTTATTACGGTTATCTCTCGCAACTAAGAAGTGTGCAAATTGTATATTTAATTGTTGTTTAGTTGCGGTATTAAAAAACGTTGGGTCATAGGTTTTAAGCATTGTGAAAACTAGAATCGCAGAAATAGCCTGAAGGTTGCGGTCCGGTTCACAAGAAATAAAAGTAAATAAAGAAATATGAATGCTTTTTACATGATTGCGAGGGTGGAGTTTCTCGTGAGCTAATGACGTTAGTCTTTAGAAGATTAGCGAAACGATTAATAGTTTTAATTACGTGGAGAATGAATGGGCAGCAGCAGGATGAATGGATGAAGGGGGTTGACCTTCGCGGACCCAGGGAACCCGAAGATCACGCTCTTCCCAAAGATGCCGAACGCATGATAAACGCCGCCGAATCGCCGATTATAACAGCTCTGCACGTTCGATGGACCTTTTCCTCAAACTAACGGTACACAATATTTTATTTTTGTTTTTATTTTTTTACACTCTTCTCCTCCATCGCATCTTAAGAAAAATAAATAAAGAATACGATAATAAAACGCAGCAGTTCACATAATATTTATTCAATGCGTTTCGGAACTTATTGTTCATGGATGTACGCTTACATTGAGTTTAATATAAAAAAAAAGAGATGTAAAGAAAACGTGAGTTATAAACGTTGGTGGTCTTAACATGTTAAATTCATTCCATCGGCTTTTATATATATATATACATGAAACATGCACGATGTAGAAGAAGCGCACTCGGACTTCTTGTTTAATCAATGCTAAGTACATCAAGAACTAATGTCACTCGGTATTAAGATCGCAGATAAATTCATATACATCCATTCGCGTTGCGCATTACGACGAGGAGACACGACATCTGGAGGGAACGAAACGAGGAGTCCTGGGATGAACAAGAACAATAAGAGATTTATGAAAGCATTACTGTAAGATATGAACTGGGGAGGATATCTTCAGATCGCGAACGTGAAACCGACCGAAAGTTTTTTTTTTGTTTCTTCTTTCTCTTATTTATTTCTTTCCACTCGCACATTACCACTCGTCTTCTTCTTGTTGTTGTTTGAAGCGCAACGTCGATGGTCGAGAAGACATGATCTATGAGAGAGGTTTCAAAAGATCGATTGATTCCGGATCAAAGTGCGCGTACGTCAAGGCGGTAACAGTAATTACATCGATCTGAATGAATTACTCGATGGACGAAATAAAGATTTATTAGCATCTACTTCTAGTAAACTGGTTTATTTATTGCTTTGAAAACCAATTAAAACAAAATCCGTTTAAATCCAACAACAACAACAAATGAACAATAACAAAAAAAAGTTTGAAACTCTGACATTTCTGAGATGTACTACATTAAACCAAGGATTTCCAACTATTTTTCCTACAAATTGAAGACAATTTTCCTACAAATTGAATACAATTTTCCTACAAATTGAATACAATTGAATACAAATAAGTTTCTAATTGTCCCCTAAATTTTGTACATTCTAATCCTGATATAAATAAATTAGTTAATTTATTACTTTGAAACAAATTAACACAAAATCCGTTAAAATTTAACAACAATAGATTTAACCAGGAGTTTCCAACCTTTTTTCTACCTTGACTAACTTGAAACATTTGTTTTGTGCTCAATCTACCACTAAATTATTATAATGAAGATTAAAACAAATCAATTTTAGAGCAAAATCCAAATAAAACAGTTTGAACTTCAACAATATTAACATTTTTCTAATAATTTTGTTTGCATATTTTTAAATAAAGAAAACATATGCTTTTTTGATTCAATCAATTTTGTTGCCATCGATTTATCATTTACCAATTAAAGAATTAAAGATTTCAATGAACAATTGCCTTTTGACAATCAACAGAGCTCTGACATTTCTGAGATATAATAAACTTTACTAAGTTTGGTATTTAGTTTCTTATTAAATTCATTTACAAGATTTATATAATTAATATCATACATTTA